AACCCCCACCGCGCTGACGCTGCGTGTACCACTCACGGAGCTGCTGAGGGGTGGGGACGTCGCGAGAACGCTGCTGCTGCTGCTGCTGCTGGCGCTGACCGCCACCAGTGCCGCTCCGCTGCGAAGCTCCACTCCGACCACCTCCACCTCCGCCACCCCCGCCTCCGCCTCCATCGCCCCCGCCTCCACCTCCACCGCCGCCACCTCCGCCACCTCCGCTACCACCGCCACCGCCGCCGCCACTCCCGCCTCCACTGCTGCCACCAGCACCCCCACCCCCGCTACCACCTCCACCGCCACCCCCACTCCCTCCGCCGCCTCCACCTCCACCGCCACCGCCCCCACTGGCCCCACCCGCTCCCTTGCCCCCCTTGCCCTTGCTAGAGCGGCGTCTCCCGCTAGGGGCAGACGCCGCACCGACCGACTCAAGACCATCGAGGTCGGCCGCAGCGGCAGAGGCGACAGAGGGCAGGAGAGGGGAAGGAGAACACCCCTCAAAGATGGGGGCGCGGGGGTCACCTCGAGAGGCTCCTACAGCAACTATGCTCTTCTCTGCTGCAAGGAGGGCCTTCTCGAGGCTGTCGACTGTGAGGGTGGTGGGACAGACCGCGAGGAAGTGGTCCCGGACTACACGAAGGGAGTCAGGGAGGCGAGTGACTAAGAAGTAGAGAGTGATGTACATGGGGGGGGGATTCTTGGCGCAGAAGTCAGCAGGAAGCGCAGCGCGGTAGCGAGTGTCACTAGTGCGGAGGTGCGTGATGAGATCAGCGACAGTGGGAAAGGCGGCAAGGTCAGGGAAGAGGAAGGGGAGCATGAGGCGGCTCAGTGCAGCAGTGGCAGGGGAGGAGTAGCGCGCAACTACAGCGTCGTACAAGGTCTGAGCACTCTTGTACTGGCTAAAGTGCGCGCGCTCAGCGGTAGGCAGGTGGCGACGCACAGCAAGACGGGCAGCAGCATCGCGCGTGGCCCACTGAGAGCGAACAGTGGCGTCAGCATCAGCAGCAGGGGCAGGGACGGCGCCAGAGGTGAGGTCAAAGAGAGACAGACCGTCGGCCCTGTCGCACTGTAAAAACAGCTGCAGGTCGTCGAGCCAGACCTCAAAGTCAATGGCTCGACCCTCAGCGTCAAAAGCGAGGACACTGGGTGTAGCCATGACGACGACAGTGGAGCAGTGCAAGCAGTAGGGGAAGGGTACGCAGTGACAGCAGTGCAGTGCTCACCGGGCAGGGCAGGTCGGGCGGCTCGGGAGGAAGGTCGCCTGGCGAAACGGCCGCTAGGCTGCTGGGCGGCTCGGCTCCCGGGCGGCTCGGCTGCTGCTGGGCGGCTCGGCTGCTGCTGGGCGGCTCGGCGGCTGCTGGGCGGCTCGGCGGCTGCTGGCGGCGCGGCTGCTGCTGGGCGGCTCGGCGGCTCCGGGCGGCTCGGCTGCTGCTGGGCGGCTCGGCGGCTCCTGGGCGGCTCGGCTGCTCCGGGCGGCTCGGCTGCTGCAGGTGGGCGGCTCGGCTGCTGCAGTCGGGCGGCGCGAGAGCAAGGGGCGGCGGGGCCGTGAGTGCTGGGGCGGCGGGGCCGCGAGACCAGGGGCGGCGGGGCCGCGTAACAGGGGCGGCGGGGCCGGGAGCGCTGGGGCGGCGGGGCCGCGAGATCAGGGGCGGCGGGGCCGTGAGCGCTGGGGGCGGCGGGGCCGTGAGATCAGGGACGGCGGGGCCGCGGGCGCTGGGGCGGCGGGGCCGCGTATCAGGGGCGGCGGGGCCGGGAGCGCTGGGGCGGCGGGGCCGCGACATCAGGGGCGTCGGGGCCGTGAGCGCTGAGGCGGCGGGGCCGTGAAATCAGGGACGGCGGGGCCGCGGGCGCTGGGGCGGCGGGGCCGCGTATCAGGGGCGGCGGGGCCAGGAGCGTTGGGGCGGCGGGGCCGCGAGATCAGGGACGGCGGGGACCGCGAGGGCTTGGGCGGCGGGGCCGCGTATCAGGGGCGGCGGGGCCGGGAGCGCTCGGGCGGCAGGGCCGCGAGATCAGGGACGGCGGGGGCCGCGAGCGCTTGGGCGGCGGGGCCGCGGTCACTGGGTGGCGGGGCCGCGAGGGTAAGGCCGGCCGCTAGGGCGGCTCGGGGAAGGAGTGGCCCGAGGCGCGACTCGGGATGAGTGCGCTTCGGGCAGAAAAAAAAGATTTCGAGTGGTGGGCCCTAGGCACAGTTCCCACAGGGGAACCTGCTCTATACCATGTGAAAACTGAACGAGAATGAATCAACTATGAATGAAGTGAGTACAAATATGAAACCCTAATTGGGTTGTACCCCCTATGGGATACCCCACTATAGCCTACACAAATAAGTAAGCTATAATGTTCTGACAACATGGGCAACAGGAGGCAGACTGGCACAGCGGCTACCGGACGAAGTCCCCGGAATACAGGAGTAACAGGCCCCGCGGCTAAAGTAGCGGCAGACGAGCAACGGACTCACGGGCGGCTGGCACAGCTGGCTACGACTGGGCTACCGGACGAAGTCCCCGGAATACAGGTGCTGCTGGCGACACGACGGCAACCTCCATACAGCTTCCCCAAACTATCCCACTCCCCCTGGCACACACCCGCTGCTACACCGCTAGCTCCCTAAACCCCAGTCTCCCACACATCCACCCCCCTCAGCGACAGCTGCAGCAGTGGGAGACAAAGGAGGAGGAGGAGCAAAGGGAGGAATGCAGAAGTGCCACCCCCATACTCGCCACCCCCTACTCGCCACTCCCCAAACCCTAACACAGGCAGGGCGGGATGGCGGGTAGGGAGGTTACGGGGGAGGGGGGGGGGGGAACCGACGCGCGGCCTCCCAGGGCGCCAAGACAGGTAGCAGAAGGGGCGGCGCTCGCCCCCCTCCCCCAGGCCCCCAAGGGAGCCGCGACGGGCGACGGGAAAAGGGGCCGCAGGCGGGGCCGGGGCCGGGGCGCAGGTAGGGCGATGGGGCCGGGGCGCAGGTAGGGCGATGGGGCCGGGGCGCAGGTAGGGCGTCGGGACGACGGGGCCGCAGGTAGGGCGGCGGGGCCAGGGCCAGGGCCGCAGGTAGGGTCGCCCGAGCTGCGCGCAGGCGGCCCGAGCCGCGCGCGGGCCTGGCGCCGCCCATACGGGTCGCGCGTAGGCCTGGCGCGGCCCGTACGGGCCGCGGACGGGTCTGGCGCGGCCCGTACGTGCCGCGCGCAGGCCACGACGGGCGACGGGGGGCGACGCGGAGGTCCCCGTCGCCCGTCGCAGCGCCTCCCGGGAGCGGCGCGCGGCGTGACGGGGCAGTAACCCGCCGCGCGCCTCGGGGCGCACGGCGGGAAGAGAACCGCCGCGCGCCTCGGGGCGCACGGCGGGCAGAAAACCGCCGCGCGCCTCGGGGCGCACGGCGGGATGAAAAAATGCCGCACGCCACGGGGCGTGCGACACAGAGAGTAGTGATAGGAGTAGCAGTAGGAGTTGCAGCGGAAGCAACGAGGTGGTGAGCCCACCCACAGGATCGATCCAAGGGGATCGACCTGCTCTGATAGCATGTAAAAGTTTAGAAGAAAGAAGAAGATTGCACTAGCAAGAATGGGGATACAAATAGCAAACCCTAGAAGGGTTGTACTCGCTATAGAGCACCCCACTACAGGCTAGAGCATAAGATAACATTCTGACAACGCTGACCGCCACCGCCGCCCAGTCACATACCAGTCAGGGGATTACGTACTGCTCGACACACAAAATCTGCGACTGCCCGACGTATCGAAACTTCGACCGCGCTACTATGGCCCATTCCAAATCAGTCACATGATCACGCCAGTAACCGCGCACCTACTGTTACCGACCGACTGGTATATCAGCCCATCGTTCCACGTCAGCCTACTTCGCCCATACATCCCAACCACCAGCCAACTGCCTCGTCATCGCCCGCATTCCATGACTCGCCCTGCATCGGAGCCGATCATCGAGCCCGAAAAAATCCCGAGCCATCGGATTCACCACCCCACGGGAATCAGGAGGATTGAATTTCTCGTTCGCTGGAAGGACCGCACGCCAAATGAAGATAGTTGGGTGCCCCTGGCCAACATAGAAAACCACCATGCCCTGCAAGTGTACCTGAGGAGCCGGGGCTTCCGCGATATGCACGCACTCGCGTAGCGGAGGGGGCTTCTTGAGGGGGGGGGTTATTGTAAGGAATTTTCTCGATATTCCCTAGCGCACCCTGCCACATCGCGTACAGCAGCAGCCGTTGTTCGCCCGTTACTGCTAACGGGGCTTCGCCGACTTCGCGCGCACTGTTTCACCAAACCTCGCACTGCTGGCCTGGCCGTGTCGGCCTACGCTTCGGGAATAGCCCGAGCCTTGCTTCCAGCATAGCACTAGCTAGCTCGCACGCACCGCGTTACCGTTTGCATGTTTCGCGTATAAATGTTCGCTCATGCGTTCGCTCACATTTTGTACTCGTTTGACACCTTAGTGCAATCCTCGCTACTTCGATTCATTACACCCGTAACACCTTTCCAGGTTACACCTTGCTTTATTCCCATAAACTTCCTTATTTCAACGCTGGTTTTTATATCCTGGTTTTTCTTATTATCTGCTAAACTAACTTGCCATCATTCCTGTAAGTTCAATTCTTTCTCTTGAACAGGTATGTATCAGCCTACCATGTTCCGCTGTGGAAATACATGGTTAGCCTTGAGAGCTCTCTTGAATGCGGTGGGGTGAGATGCGTAGATAGTCAGAGCGGCTCTTTGATAAGTTAGAGCGGTGACGTAGGGTATTGGAGCCAAGAGGAACTTGAAATTCACCTCCGCACCAACCGTCCGACCTCAATGCACTGCACGGCTGATAATTCTCATTCAATTGACGGCGTCCCTTTCACGCAAGCTACCGTCCCACATGATGGGCGCTACAATGCATTTCTGAGAAGCAATCGGCGTGCGGCTACCGAATATCTTCACCATCTCGGTAGATCCGAATTCCTCACCATCGTCGTTCCTGGCGTTCCCCGCACGCGGATCCCAGCCATGGCTCCGAGCCAGCCTCCCAAGCCTAATCCGCTGCCTCGGGGCCCGGTGGTGGCGATCTGCGTCATGTACTTCACCAACGCGCTCGCGCCCACCATCCTCTTCCCCTTCCTGCCGCTCATGGTCGCCAGCTTCCACGTCACCGACGACCCCACTAAGCTCGGGTTAGTTACAAACGACCGTCGGCCGTCGCGACGCCGACCAGCGTCAGCAAGAGACATGCCCCTCCTACCATCCGCGTCCCTTTGCTGTCTCTTTTGGTCGCCAGCTTTCGCCACAGACGATTCCACGAAGCTGGGATAAGCTTTCGATGGCTTGGGGTCTCAGCAGTTGGATGATCATCCAGCCGGTCTCAGCGATTGAATGCGAACCGGCTAGATGTGGTCGCAGCGCGCATGAATTAGCTGCACATTAACACACATCAGCGTAACGCGTCTTCGTCGCGTCCTTGCACTGAACGAGCAACCACGAGACGCTACAGATCGATTCATCGCGTGAACTAGCAATGTATTGATTCCGTAGCTCGTGGTGCTCCTTGACCATTTATCTCGCTCAACTGTGATGTGACGTGTGTTTGCCTCAGTCCACACACGTGTGTGTGTTTACATCACGTCAACATATTAAATTTCTACTTCTAGCTCGTTTCTTGCTGTACTGGGGACCTTTTTTTTTTCCAATCCGTTCTTGCATGTGCTGTCCCTCCTTCTACCCTCTCCCCCCCCCCCCCCCCCCCACCACACCACCTCCCTCTTCCCGTTTGCCTTTCGTCTCGTCCCGTTCGTATCGTTCCGGCCGTCTTAACCCGTCCGTCAGCTACTATGCGGGCTATCTCGGCTCCTCTTACTTCGTCGGCTCACTCATCAGCAGCAGCTTCTGGGGGTGGGTGGGTGGGTGAGGGGGGTTGCGAGGGGGGCATGGGAGGTTTTCCGAACCACCTTAAAGTGATTTTGTCTGTTTCTGGGTTCCCATTTTCTGCAAACCCACAGTCATTATCAGACATTCAACGGCACCCTTACATCACACATCATTGCAACGGCTGACTTTTGAGTCGACTCAAACGGCTGCTGCCTCCACTTGTTTCGATTAATCAAGCTCCCACGGTTCTTGTTGTAGGCGTCCCTTCCTGTCTTGCTTTCAGGGCGGGAGACACAGTCACACAGCCACCTCTCCGCGCCCCACTGGCTGTCTCTTTGTCTCTCTCTGTACCTGTACATGTGCATGTGTTTCTTGCTTTCGTATCTCCCTCTCTCTACCGTCCCTCTCCCCTCTCCTCCCGCTACAGCATCCTATCAGATCACTGGGGCCGCAAGCCAGTGTTGCTGATAGGCCTGGCGGCCAACATGATGTGCGGAGGAGCATTCTCATGTGCGCCCCATGCGCCTGTGCTGCTTGCCCCCCTCCCTCGCAAGCGGTCCGTGTATTAGATCCGAGCAAGGTACAGACATGCACAAGGATATAAGAAGCAATGCACCTCAGCTTCTAGAACCCCCATATCCTACCCACTCTCGTTCTCCCTCTCCCTCTCCTTCCCTCCCCTTCAACAGCATCCTATCAGACCACTGGGGGCGCAAGCCAGTGTTGCTGATAGGCCTGGCGGCCAACATGGTGTGCGGGGGTGCGTTCGGCCTCTGCACGTCCTTCCATGCCGCCATGCTCTGCCGCCTGCTGCACGGCCTCCTCTCCACCATCGCTGCTACCGGCAGGACGTGAGTCGCTGGTTTCCAATGCATGCCCCTGTCCCAATTCTCTCATGCCTCTTCTCAATCCTCTCATCCCTCTCCCCATCCTCTCATCCCTCTCCCCATCCTCTCATGCATCTCCCCATCCTCTCATCCCTCTCCCCATCCTCTCATCCCTCTCCCCGTCTCTACATGCAGCACAGTGGCCGAACTCTGTGACTCCACCAATCAGGCACAAGGGTAAGACACATCCCGCCCCTTCAACCTGCCTTCCATGCCCCATTCTTTTGCTGCGTCAGGCGGCAATCAACCATCCCATTAGATCACCATTGTGCTCTGTGAACCAACCGATTGCTCTGCCGTTTGCTCTTCGCTCAGCCACCTCAACACCCCATTCGTTGCTTGTCAGTAGCGGACAGGTGGGCTGCGGATGCCTTACTTCCATCAACTCGTGTGGTTCTTAGAACGACGAGACAAACCCCATGGATTGGGTGAAATGATGGAAGGAGCCTGGTTCACTGCGAGCTAGAGCGTTTTCTTAGAGAGCCGTTCTGTTCTTCGCTCAGCCGCCTCAACACCCCATTCATTGCTTGCCATATTTCATGCCTCTCGCTTCATCTTGCAGCTTAAAACCATCTCTTTTCAGACTCCTTCATTCCAATTCCACCCCCCTCCCATTTCCTCAAACCTCCTATTTCCTAACCTCCCGATTTCTCACATCTCCCAATTTTCTCACCCTTTCCGAGTTCTGACCCCGCCCACGTTCATCCCAAGTTCGCTCCCACTCCGTTTGCATCCTATGCCTGAATTTTGCATCCCCTCCTTCAGCTTCGCCCTGCTGGGAACCAATTTCGGTCTCGGGCTGCTCATTGGTGAGTTTCCCCCTTGTCTCTCTCCCATCCCACACACCCGCACGTACGTGTGCTGCTCATGCACACGTGCTGCTCTCGCACACGTGCACTGGATGTTCGTGAGCCGCTGTGACTCCACCTCGCGTAATCTCGTGCATGATCCCACATTTCCGTGCATGATCCCACATTTCCGTGCATGATCCCACATTTCCGTGCATGATCCCACATTTCCGTGCATGATCCCACATTTCCGTGCATGATCCCACATTTCCGTGCATGATCCCACATTTCCGTGCATGATCCCACATTTCCGTGCATGATCCCACATTTCCGTGCATGATCCCACATTTCCGTGCATGATCCCACATTTCCGTGCATGATCCCACATTTCCGTGCATGATCCCACATTTCCGTGTGTAGAATGAGGATCGGTGAACTTGAGGCACAATGAAAGAAGAACAATATATCCTTAGTAGGAAGATGGTACAAGCCTGAAAGGCTAGAGCAATGTCCTTTCCAAGGATGAGTTCTAGAGAAGTGGGAAGCCACATTTATGTGGCTGAACTCTTGAGGCTAGCTGCAGCACCTCAAAGCTGAGGGCAGGGCTAGCCAACCTTGCCAAGCTAGCAATTGAGGCCACATGTTGCACATGTGGGCCAGGCTGGAACAACAGCCTACATGGCAGCATGTGGCACACCATAGGAGCCAACAAGGTGAGTATGGGATGGGTGGACAGATGGCAATGCCAACTGTGACCACACTTCACTGTGGGTGAGTGTGGTGGAGTGTGGGAGTGTCATGTTCGGCATAATGAGAAGAGAAGGTGCTGTCGATGAGAGTTGAACCCGCGACCACTAAGACCAAAGGTACCCACTGGGACATTCTTGCTTCCACAACACCGTGCATGATCCCACATTTCCGTGCATGATCCCACATTTCCGTGCATGATCCCACATTTCCGTGCATGATCCCACATTTCCGTGCATGATCCCACATTTCCGTGCATGATCCCACATTTCCGTGCATGATCCCACATTTCCGTGCATGATCCCACATTTCCGTGCATGATCCCACATTTCCGTGCATGATCCCACATTTCCGTGCATGATCCCACATTTCCGTGCATGATCCCACATTTCCGTGCATGATCCCACATTTCCGTGCATGATCCCACATTTCCGTGCATGATCCCACATTTCCGTGCATGATCCCACATTTCCGTGCATGATCCCACATTTCCGTGCATGATCCCACATTTCCGTGCATCCTACTCCCCGCACCCCTTCTTGCCTCACCCGCTCCCCACAGGTCCAGCACTGGGCGGGTTTCTGTGCGAGCCAGCACTCAAGTACCCCTGGCTCTTCCCCCTGCTGTTTCTGGGCTGCTCAGTGACGGCTTTCCCGTGCATGCACCCACTCTTTCCCGTGCATCCTTCTCTTCTCACTCCTTTTCGCCTCACCCGCTCCCCACAGGTCCAGCACTGGGAGGGTTTCTGTGCGAGCCAGCAGTCAAGTACCCCTGGCTCTTCCCCCCGCACTCTCTCTTTGCCCGCCTGCCCTTCCTCCTGCCCTGCCTGCTGCTCGCCCTGCTCTCCCTCCTCGGCCTCCTTGCCACCGCTGCACTACTGCCAGAAACCAAGGGGTGGGCTCACCGGGTGGTCGACATAGACCGTGAGATTCGATCTGCTGATGCTGATGGTCCTGCGACTCCTGTCTGTGGCGCTGGTGGTAGCAGCGGTGGTAGTGGCGCTGCCATTGCTGCTGCTGCGCTGCTGCCAGAGAGCAAGGGGATATCACACCCCGTGGTTGACATAGACCGTGAAATCCGATGTGATCAATCTCTTGGTGAGGACTGTCGCAGTTGCAGGGGTGGCAGCGGCAGCAGTGGTGGTGGCAGCAGCAGGAGTGGCAGCAGCAGCGGCAGCGGCAGTGGCAGCTTGGGCAGTGGAAGCAGTATTGGCAGCAGCAGCAGCAGCAGCAGCAACAGCAGCAACGTGGGGAATGGAAGTAGGAGGTCAAGCCTGAGTCAGCCACTGTTGCAATCCATCGCAGAGGAGCTAGGAGAAGGGGCAGAGGAGGATGAGGAGGAGGTGGAGGAGGAAGGGGAGGAGGAGGAAGTGAGGAAGTTTGGATGGGAGGAAGGAGGGAAGGAAGGGGAAGGGTGTGGAGTAGTGAGAGGAGGAAGAGAGGGAGATGAGGCAGGAGCAGGGCAGTCAAGCGGGAGTGACAGGATGTGGGGTAAGAGCATAGGAGAGGGTGAACGGCCAGAGGCCACAGGGGGAAGAGAAGGAGGAGGAGGGAGAGAAAGAGGAGGAGGGAGAGAAAGAGGAGGAGGGTGGGGCGAGTATGATGAGGAGCGGGCATGCATGGTAGCTGACAACAGAGGGAACCTGAAGGATCACCTGAAGGATCACCTGAAGGATCACCTGGGTGGGAAACACCTGGATGGGGATCATTTGAGGGAGCCACTACTTGAATCAAGAGGGAGAGGAGGGGAGCTGCGGGAAACCGGAGTTGATACTGACGACATTGCCTCTGCTAATGGCTTCTGCTCCCCCTCCTCCCGTTTCTCCCCCTCCTCCCGTTTCTCCCCCTCCTCCCGTTTTTCCTCCTCCTCCCGTTTCTCCTCCTCCCGTTCCTCTTCCTTCCTTTGCTGCCACTGCCTGCCCAAGCTGCAGTGTCTCTGCTGCTGCTGCTGCCTCCCATCCCCCCCTCTCTCCCCGGTCAACCTCTTCGCGCCTCTCTGTGGCCAGCAGCTCGCACGCGCCCTCTTTGACTCTGCCACTGGTACCTCTCTCCACCCCTCTAACAAGCACCACCTTTGTCTTTCCATTGTGCAATCCCCTGTGATCATCATCACCATCACCATCACCACTATCACCATCATCATCACCATCACCACTATCATCATCATCCCCCCCAGTGAAGGCTGTCCTCTTGCCCCTCTCTCTGCCCTGCATCTCTACAGTTGCCTCAAGCACCAACCGTACTCTCTCCATTGCTCTACCCTGCATTCATCACCTTCTCTCCACATCACCCCACATCACTCCACCACCATCATCATCATCATCATCATCATCATCATCATCATCATCATCATCATCATCATCATCATCATCATCATCATCATCATCATCATCATCATCATCATCATCATCATCATCATCATCATCATCATCATCATCATCATCATCATCATCATCATCATCATCATCATCATCATCATCATCATCATCATCATCATCATCATCACCATCATCCCCCCCAGTGAAGGCATTCCTCTTCCTCTCCCTGCTCAGTTTCGCTACAACCTCATTCAACGAGGTGAGCTGGTTAGCAGCATGTGGCAGTAGGGTGCCTTGCTATCAGAGCAGTTGTCAGTATGTGGCAGTAGCGGAGTCAGGTGCCAATATGTGATACTAGTGAAATGCAAAGAGCTGGTGCAAACAATGTGACTATACAGCATGTGATTCTGTCGAGGTCAGTGTGAGCGTTCAAACAAAGTGCATTTCATGTGCTTGCCTAATGGGAATATGCTGCGGCATGGTCGGGTATGGTGGAGCATGGTGGGGAACGGTGAAGTCACAAGAGAACGTAGTGAGAGGGCGGAAGGAATCAATATTGTTTTTGTAAGGTTGGTTGAGCATTCGGTGAGGAGTGCTTATAGGCTTGAGCATTCAAGCACCATTCCATTGCTAAACATGCAAGTCGGGACTACCTCAATATTCAAATCATCTCACCTGTCCCTTTTCTCATGTAAACATTCTGGACGTTGTAAAAGATTGGTATTTTTCGTCTTCCACATTCCACTCCCTATCTCGCTCCCCAGGTCTTTCCTCTCTGGAGCCTCACTGATTGGAGGTTCGGAGGGCTCAGCTTCGGCACGAACCAAGTTGCAATGGCCCAAACCTGCGCGGGAATATGCTCTGTGGGTGTTCAAGCTGCTACACTTTGAAAAGGATGACCTTGAATGAACACAATAGCATGAACCAGGGGGTTGTTTCCAGAATAAACATGCTCCTGATGGCAAGCGTCTCTATACACTGCAGCCAGCCATGCTAACTGAAAGATGAGCTGCTAACTGAGCTCCTGTTTCTTAGAGCTTTCTCAATCTCCTGTTTCTTGGAGCTTTCTCAATCTCCTGTTTCTTAGAGCTTTCTCAATCTCCTGTTTCTTAGAGCTTTCTCAATCTCCTGTTTCTTAGAGCTTTCTCAATCTCCTGTTTCTTAGAGCTTTCTCAATCTCCTGTTTCTTAGAGCTTTCTCAATCTCCTTAGATCACTTCCCTTTTTCTCTAACCCCCTCTCACCCTCCCTCTCAGCTCATCCCCTGCTTGCTTACTTTCCACCTGTGATGAAACGAGTTTCTGACATACTGAAGAGGTCCTTTCTGCTCATCCCTTCACGCTGTTTGCATCCTCTCAGGTGTTTTTCCAGCAATATGTGTACGCTCCTCTTGTCAACAGAGTGGGAGCTCGGGGAGCCGTTCAGGTGGGTTCTCCTGTGGCTCAGGTAATTGCTACTGTAGCTCAGATTAATTTGACCTCTGTAAGATTTTTGAAGAGCTACCCTTTGTTTTTACCCTAACAAAAAGATAATTCCCTCCTTTCTTCTTATGTACCTTACTGCCACATGCTGTGCTGTTTTGCCCAATCAGGTGGCACTGTCAGTTGGCTTCGTTTTAGTCACATGGCTTCCCTTCATCCGCATATTCGGCCAGGGCAGTGGTGCCACTGTGGTCGCTGCTTGCCTCTCGCTCGCGCTGCGAAGGTACGCGCTCACAATGTGAATGGCATCATAGACACGTCATTTGAGTTGAGTTGGTTTTGAGAGTCCTCAGAGTGGCTGGGGTTTCGTTCGAGTGGCTGGTGAAAGCATGGGCATGGCAATGGATGTGGTCTGTTGCTTAATGGAGAGGCCTCAGGAGGTTGTGTTCGAAGCGCTCAGTCCACGGGCATGCATGCATGCACACTAGAGTTTCAAGCTTCAACCAGCCATGCTTCCCTCTCAAGTGCTGTGTGCGATGAACGATACCTGTGTGATTTGTGTGATGTGTGCAATGTGTGTGACGTTTGTGGAAGGTGTGATGTGTGTGGTGCATGTGATGTGTGTGGTGCATGTGATGTGTGTGGTGCATGTTTTGTGTGTGGTGGACGTGATGTGTGTGGTGCACGTGATGTGTGTGGTGGACGTGATGTGTGTGGTGCATGTGATGTGTGTGGTGCATGTGATTTGTGTGGTGCACGTGATGTGTGTGGTGCATGTGATTTGTGTGGTGCTTGTAATGTGTGTGGTGCATGTGGTGAGGTGCACTTATGTGACATCTGGTGCATCTCCACCAGTTTTGCACAGTGTGTGTTCACATCAGGTTTTATCTTCATCAACAACAGCATCTCCGATCCAGCTTTGATTGGTGCCGTCACAGGGATCACTCAATCCATCAGTCTCTTTTTCAGGGCAATGGCTCCTGCTGCTGGTGCCACCGTGTTCGCATGGAGCATCAGTGGTATACCATTCTTTCCGTTGGACCATCACTTGTTTTTCTTTACTCAGGCAGTGCTTCAGCTTGTTTTGATCACGATTTCTCGGTCCATGCCGGACCATATTGACACGCCTAAGTTTGTTCGACGACAAACGGGTTAGTGGAAATGTCATGCCACTTCAACATATCTTACTATGTAACAAAGGTGCATCTGGTAAGCCTGTTCTTATCAATGAACTTGTTAAAGGAGATTCAACCACACAAGTCCCCCTGGTTTGTCATCTCAACTCGAGGCTCGGTCCGCCAGCCATATTTGAGGTTCGTGGTCCCAGGCTGATTCTGCAACCGCAGACACTGACCAGGCATGACGTCAACTACGCCTCCCTTTTTGCCACAAGGTCTGCGCAGACCAATTACCGTGCCTGATCACTTGCCGAACCTCTTTTGTAACCTCCAATTAGCGTCATCCAAGCGTCTTCTCCCCTCCAGCGTGCAGCAGCAGCGAACAGCAACTGAACGCGAACACACGATTTCGATATGGCCTTAAAATCCCTGGTAACGCTCAATACCGTTGCAGAAATAAAATAAACCGTAATAAAAACGCTTTGCACTTCAAGGCCTGATTGCTTCGACATGGCGCCCCTCACATTTCGCACAACCACCCAACCACCCGTTCTCATATTTCTCGGCTGTTTGTCTCCCTTGAGTTTTAGCCATGGACTGATTCCTGTTGCTAGCTTTTTTCTTCTTTGGAGTAGTTCATTGTCATCAGAAGTGTTCGTATATTGCGTTGGAGCTTCAGTTTTCTTTTTTCCAATCTTCATTTCAGGGTCGCATGTAGATCGAGCTGTGTTCTTGGTGGCAGTTAGACTAGCCGTCGATCAGACCGGCCGCCAGCTGTGATCAGCGCTAGTTGCCGGTCAACATGCCGCCAGGCACCCCGTCAGAAGTCGACGAGAGAAAGAATAGCTCAGCCTCCATAAGTATACCCAGTGGTGATACCAGTGATGCGAGGAATGGCGAAGCGCCTACAGAGCAGGAAGCGGTAGTGCCGCCAACGGTCAAGTTCATTATCGGCAACGAGTTCTGCGAGAGATTCTCGTTCTACGGCATGCGAGCGATCCTGGCGATGTACCTGAACGAGAGATTAAAGCTGTCGCAGGCGACGGCGACGGAGATGGTGCATCTCTTCATCGTCGCCGCGTACCTCGCTCCCCTGTTTGGCGCGTTCATCAGCGATAGCTACCTGGTAAGGATCCGCCATGCACACCTGTTTCTCGATAAGATGTTGCGTTTCCGGGCGACAGCCGCCTGGAAAAGATCCAACAGGTATAGACGATGATTTTGAACGGATCCAAGTAGTACCTGGTTCGGCCAGTGACGAGGAAACAAAGAGTCGAACCATGTTCGTCGTTCACGTTTCTTAAATCGATGAATTGTTAATTGTCGTTCATCACTGAGCATCAGTCATCTGTTCATTGTTGATTCCGTTCCTGCGCGCCGGCCCCAGGGCAAGTACCGGACCATCTGGATCCTCCTTTACTGAGCACCAGTCGTCTGTTCATTGTTGATCTCCTTTATCCACGGCGAGTTCTTCGACTCCTCAAATCTCAATAGATCCCACGTGTCTCCCACGTGCCCTACTGCTAATGCCGTCCCCGCACGCCCACTGCAGGGCAAGTACCGGACCATCCTGTACCTCTCCTTCATCTACTGCGCCGGCAACTGGCTCGTCGCCTTCTCCGCGCTTCACACCACGCCGTCCGCCGCGCTCCCGTGGGCCGTCGCGGGGCTGACCTGCCTCGCGCTGGGCAGCGGCGGCATCAAGCCGTGCGTGTCGTCGTTCGGCGGCGATCAGATCGAGATGACCAACCCTCCCGGCGCGGCTCGGGACCGCCTGGTTCGGCAGTTCTTCTCGTATTTCTACTTCGCGATCAACGTCGGGTCGGGGATCTCGACGATCGTCACGCCGCTGTTGCGCGTTAATTTCTCGTATAGCGCCGCGTTCGCGCTGCCGGCCGTGCTGATGATGGTTGCCACGTGTCTCTTCTGGCTCGGCAGCGGGAGTTACGTGCACCAGCCGCCCGCGGGAAACGTGGTGTCGGAAGTCCTCTCGATAATCATCTCCGCTTTATGGCCGGGGAAAGCGCGGCGGAAATCCTACCCCACCCTGGCCATTCCCATGCCCATGCCAATCCCGGAACGCCACGCCAGCTGCGCTGACGTGGACAGCTCCCCGCTCCTCTCCAGCAGCCCCGCGTCGTTTGGCGCGGGCAGGGGAGGCAGCTTCCAATCGGGGAGCCCGCTGCTTGGCGGCCAGTCCGAATCATTTCAGACTCAGACTCAGAGTCAGCAGCTGAAAGGCAGCCAGCCGACGCTGCAGAAGAAGCTTTCAAAGCGGGGTAGCAAGCGGGCCATAGTGCCGGTGGGGTTTGTTCCCAAGGCGCACTGGCTGGATCCCGCCAAGGGCGCGCACGGGGAGGAGGCGGTGGAGGACGTGAAGCTGCTGCTGCGCGTGCTGGCGCTGTTCGCCCCCGTGCCCATCTTCTGGTCGCTCTTCGACCAGCAGGCCAGCCGCTGGGTCTTCCAGGCGGAGCGCATGGACGGGCATTTCTGGGGGATCACGGTGGAGCCGGATCAGATGCAGGTGGGTTGCGGTGAGGGGAGGGGGGTTGGGCGTGGGGTGGGGGGTTGGGTTGGCGGGGGGTAAGGGGAGTCAGCAGGCCAGCCGCTGGGTGTTCCAGGCGGAAAGGATGGATGGGCGGATCTGGGGGGTTAGAGTGGAGCCGACCAGACGCAGGTGGGTGGGGGACGGGAGGGAGGGAAAGGGGGGGAACGGGGGGAAGGGGGGGGAACGGGGGGAAGGGAGGGGTTTAAATGAGAATGGTTGGGGATGGAGCAGAAGGTTATTCGCTGGGAGTTTCAGGCGGAGAGAAGGGATGGCAGGATCTAGGGAGTCAAGGTGGAGCCCGACCAGATGCAGGTGGGTGGTGGTGAGGGGTTGGGGGCGGTTAGGAGAGAAGGAATGGCAGGATTTAGGGTGGCAAGGTGGAGCCCGACCAGATGCAGGTGGGTGGTGGTGAGGGGTTTGGGGGGGATTGGGATGGGTGGGGTGGGTGGGGTGATGGGTATTGGGGTTTTGGGCCAGCAGGCCAGGCGCTGGTTGCTGAGGCGGGGGAAATGGGTGGGTCAGGGTGGCGCCCGACCAGATGCAGGTGGGTTGTGGTGACTCGTGAGAGGGACTAGTGTTTGAGTGTGCAAGTGGGCTGGATGGATCAGATGTCGGTAAAGGACGAGGCGGATGGGGCAGGTGAGTGGGATGCGGCAGATAAGGCAGGTTGAGCTGCCTGGATTGCTGCAGTTCAGAGGGGTTTCAGTGGGGAGGGTGGACGGGCCGTGGCTGAGTGGTGGAGTGGTGGATTGGTTGATTGAATGGCCGATTGGCTGCTTGGTCGTTTGGCTGTTTGGCTAATTTTCAGGGTGGTTGAACAGGTGGGTGAATGAATGGTTCCGTTGTCATATTGCGTGAGATGAGGGTTCAGCAATCAAATACCTTGGCGCATGAACGGTGGAAAGGGACAATCCGTGTGAAAGAAGGGAGCATGAATGCCAGGAGGGTTGGGACGATTCTAGAGCGACGTGTGTGCAAGAATGGTACGGGTCAACTCTCGCCTTTGATCGCCCATCTGCTCACTCATTCGTCCTTTGCTCCTTTTTCCTCCCATCCCCCCCCGCCCCCCCTCCCCCCCTTCCCTCACGCACAGACCATGAATGCAGCGCTCATTCTGGTGATGATACCGCTATTTGATCAGGTGATTTATCCTTCGTGCGAGCGCCTGGGCGTGTCCATCCGCCCCATCCGCCGCATGGCCACCGGCATGACCCTCGGCGCCCTCAGCTTCGCGCTCTCCGGCCTCCTCCAGATTTGGATCGAGGCTCGGGCCAAGTCTGGCTCACCGAGCCTGCTACTAGGCTCGGCAGTGACCGCTGCTGTTGCAGGGGTGGGGAGTGTGGGCGCAGGGGATGGAGCTGGTAGGGTGCTACTGGACATGATTGGGGGTAACATGACAGCAAGTGTTAGCAGTTTTGGCGGCATGAGTGGTATGAGTAGCAATGCCAGCATGATGAGCAATATGAGTGGTATTGCTGGTCCAATTGTGGCTGGTCCCACGATGGACGGATGGGGGGGTGACCTGGTGGCAATGGGAGCGGCAACAGCAGCAGCAGTGGGTACAGCAGGAACAGCAGCAGTGGAAGCAATGGGAGGCCTAGCAGCAGCAGCAGCGGGGGCAGCTGGAAACAGCAGCAGGCATGTGCTGCAAGCGTGTGGGGACCCGGGCAGCCCGCCATGTGTGTCACTGGCATGGCAGGTGCCACAGTATGTGATCATGACAGCGGGGGAGATCCTCTTCAGCATCACAGGCCTTGAACTCGCTTACTCTCAGGCCCCCGCCAGCATGACTGCTGTTGTCACTGCTTTTTGGTGCCTCACTGTGGCTGGAGGTGAGCCTTTGGCCACTAGGGAGTGTGCGTTTTATAGGGTGTGTGCGTTTGATTGGGCGTGTGTGGTAGGTAGGAAGTGTGTTGTCTTCACTGCCGCGTGCCGGATTCACTGTCATGTGCCTGCTCTCCACCACTCTGCTGCCCCACTCATCGTGTTCCGCATCCCTCCTTCTCATCTCTTTCCTCCCGCTCCAGGCAATCTCTTCACGGCGGTGGTGGTGGGGACTGTCGGCTCACACCTCTCTCAAACGCAAGAGTTTTTCTTCTTCACCATCATGTGCCTCATCTCCACTGCTCTACTACTCTATGTCGGCAAGGGCTTCATCTATGTAGAGAGCTGCCAGGACTTTGAGCACCCTGACCCCTTCTCGCAGGGTGGTGCTGGTGGGTTTGGTTCGGTTGGTGGGAGTGGTGAGGGGCATAGTGCCCCGCTGCCTGTGCCCGGTGGGTCGGGTGCGCGGCACGATGCGCTGTTTGATATTGAAGGGGCGGGGAGCGTGAATTCGCCGCCTGCTTCGTACACTGGCACGCCTACATGAGGCTTCTTTGTTGCCGGCTGACTCACTAGAGAACAACAAAAATGTACATGTCTGTCAGGAATTGGATTCAGGTGTTGGTGCTGTCTAGGTTGTTAGTGGTAATCGCCATTCTGTACAGAAAATTATGTACCGATTGATTCTTGTCTTGCACAGTTGCTAGTAAGAGCGAACTAGGAGTGTTGCTGAAGAAGCATCAGTTCAGTAAGTTTTGCAGTTCTCGTTCTCTATTAGAAGTTGCCTCTGTCGAGTACGTGTTACGAGTGCAATTGAGTGAACGAACGAGAATTGCACTATCGAAGCAAGAATACAAATGAGCGAAGGCATGAGCGAACATTATATAGCGAAACTATAGTGGTAACGGTAATGGTCGCGCGACGAGCCTGGGACTGAGGTTGGGAAAGTGTCGAAGCGTAGGTCCGGAGCGCGGGTTACCAGCCGAGCCGTGAGGTCGGGATGCGATGTGCGAAAAGGGCGGGATGATGAATGATGCGATGGTCGCGAGTGGTAACGGTGCTGACTGAGGTGCTACAGTGATGTACGCGTTGAGCAGGGACGCGAAGTAAGGAAAAGGGAATTTCCTTACAGTACGCAAACATTTGGATCTCACACATGTCGATCTCGCACACCCAGCCTCATGCCCTCCACAAAGTTGGGGACTCGAAATCGAACCGCCGAAACGAATGTCGGTGGTCGATCTTCTCCAGCAAGCTGGGACTTGAATCGAGCCGCACACGAGAAATCCATCGCTTGTAAGGGGCACAGCTGGTTACAGCGAAAGTTTCATGATTCGCAAGAAGGGTTTCCTGACTCCAATAATTTTCGCGAAGGCCTCCCTCACCACGAGATCCAGGCATCAGTCCGCTGGACCGGATCAACCAATGGAAGGCCTCGAGTTTGCTCCAACGCATCATGTTGGATGGAGCGCAGAATGGGGTAAGTGAGGGAATCCATGGCCAAACCTCGTTTCGTCTCCATGATCCTTGTGCCCTCAACCCAGCGCGTTTCACAGATTCCCCACTTCACCATTTTGGTCATCCGTCCTCCTATCCAAGTCTTCTAATTACACGGATCAAGTTGAGTTGAGACGCTTGCCGTCACTTGCCCGTCAAAGCAGGCTGGTTTAAGATCCGGTCAGGATTAGAGACGCTAGCGCGGTTTGCTAACTTGAGAGATATAGTCGTCTCCTAGAATCCCGATCAGCAGCACAGAAGCCACAATGTCGGAAGAGACACAGAGCCTGACGGGAGCAGTTGGTTTGGCGACAAAAACAGGCGGATGGATAAAGAAAGAAGAGGTGAAGACGGCAGTTTCCAGGTGAGGTCCTCACAACGGCTCGGCTTACGCTTGCATCACTTATGAACATTCTCTAATCAAATGGATAACGAAAGAGAGGGTGACGGAGGCCGTTGCGGACTCCAGGCGAGATCGTCAAAGAGACTCAAGTGATGCATTCTTTTCCATCGACACATTGAGAAGTTTCGACTGAAATGAGGTAGGAGTGTTCAGTCTCATCAAACGGGGAGTGCTATGACCAGCAATATCCGCATGCCTTCACGCGAAACGGAACTTAGAGATTGACTTCATGAACCCAGTTGTAGGCGAAATTGTCCGCCATATGTGATCAGTCTGTTAGCGGAAAGCCGGCCCCATTTGAACAATGATTCGTGCGCAAATGCCTTGCCATCCACCAGCGCGTTCCAGATCTCTTCTCCCATGACTGCATTCGCAAATATCACTCCCATTCGTCCTCTGGTTCGCGGCGCCTCTCTTCCGATGAGAGAATCCTTTCGTTCTCATTCACTTCCTGATCAATGTCTTCCCCGCTGCAGCTATGAGAACTACCACGAGAGCTTCGGAGGGAGCGACAGCGCGCGCAAGTCCAACTACACGGACATGGTATGTACGTACGCAGTATGGCGCCGGGGGGATACTGATGTGGCTGGTATAAAACTGTTCTCAGAAGCTGGTATGTACACTGCATGTTGTCGGATGGTTACAGATGTGGCATAAGTCAAACTCTTGATTATCATTGGCTGCAACAAGGCATAAATGCATTGACTCGAACTGTAACGACTTGTGCCGTTACCCCAACTCGCCCATTTATTCGCTTCCTCGCCCGACCTACCACCCTTCTCACACACACGCCCAGGTGAACAAGTACTATGATCTGGTAACCAGCTTCTACGAGTACGGTTGGGGCGAGTCGTTCCACTTCGCTCACCGGTACGAGCTTCGCCAATTAGCCACGTTAGCCACCCACTATTGGAACAAAAAAGGCTCTTAATTCATAGGAACGAAGCCGGCCAGACTTCAGTCAAGTCCACTGCACTCCAGCATTCATCAATTCATTCATCCATGCATTAATTCATCCCAGCTACGCGCACCATTACCCAAGTCAGACTGCATGGGCCTCCCTCGCAGCGCTGCGAGCTCATTGCATTGCGTCTTGCGAACTTTCAAAAAAACCCTGGTCTTGTCGCGTCTCCATCTCTGAAAAACCCATTTATCTCACTTTGCCACTCCTCCCGGCATCTTGCCTCTCTGCTCCGCGCCTCAGCATGCGGGGCGAGACGCTACGGGAGAGCATCAAGCGTCACGAGCACTTCCTGGCTCTCCGGCTAGGACTGGGCCCTGGCATGAAGGTGCGTGCATGCCGTTCCATGGGGCGTGAAAGTGTGTACTTTGTTTCCTCCCCCTTCTGGAGTTTTCATTTCTCCCTTACAGCCTTCTATCTTTCATATTTCACAGTGTCGTGCCTCAGTCATTCCTCCTCTCCACACCTCGCCTCACTCCTTCCTCCTCTTTGCACCTCGGTTCTTTGCTCCTCCTCGCCCTCAGGTGCTGGATGTGGGGTGCGGCATCGGTGGGCCGTTGAGAGAAATCGCACTATTCAGGTAGGCGCACAGCCTCTGCCTTCTGTCCAGTCTTAGAGAGAAATGGCTTGCTGGTCAGAACTTATGTTTGAGAGAGATTGCCTGATATTGCGCGTTTCTGTGGTACCCATAGGAACTGCGTCATTCACCCTGTTGTTGCTTGCACCCTGCTGTCCCTCCGTATGCCCACTCGTCTGTGCTCCACTCCTCACTTGCGCGCTCACTGTCTCCTCCCCTCTCTCCCTGTGTGCATCACAACACAATGCAGCGGAGCCACGGTAACGGGGCTCAACAACAACGAGTACCAGATCTCCCGCGGCAAGGTACGCTGGTGCACTTTCCATCCATGTATCAATGCATCCACCCAATCACCCACCCACCCGCCCAACCCACCCACCCAGCCAACCTTGAAACCAGCCCTTCCATCCTTCCGACCCACCCTCACCATGTCGCCTCTTCTCCATTCCCGCCATCCTCCCCTCCCCCCACCCCACCAGGTGCTGAACAGGCGGCACCGAGCACTGGAGGCGTGCGGGTTCATAAAGGCGGACTTCATGAGCATCCCCGTGCCTGACGCTTCCTTCGACGCCGTCTATGCCATCGAAGCCACTTGCCACGCCCCCGACGCCGTGAGTCTACTCTTGCCCTGTGACGTCTCAGGCACATTTGACACTAGGCACATCTGTCGCAAGAATGTGGAATCTTACAATTGAAATGACTTGTTTACTCCTGATTTCTCCCTGATCTGTCCCCATGGATCTATGCCTCACAGGGCTGGGGGGCAACCATGGTTTATCCCCACCACGTATCCATATCTGTCCCCGTTCTGTCCCTATCCCCCGCCAGGTGGGGTGCTACAGCGAGGTGAAGCGAGTGCTGAAGCCAGGGCAGTGCTTTGCGGCCTACGAGTGGTGCCTCACAGATGCCTACGACCCCAACAACCCCCAGCACCAGGAGGTCAAGGTGAGTGGGACCCGATACAGAACAAGGTCGAGTCATTCAAGTCGACTTGAGCTCACTGCTGCCTTCTCTACTCTTGCACGCGTTGGATCCCTAACGCCCTTTCGCCCCTCTCTGCAATCGTTCTCTCTCTTGTCGCTGTCTCTGCTGTTCGCCCTCTATGTCTTGGCCCCCCTTGTTCTTGTCCTCTCGCTCGCCTTGTCTCCATGCTCTTTCCCTTACGTTCTCCGACCTGATTCCCTTGTTTTGCATTCTCTTCTGCGTGCTCTATCTAAACTCTCGAGCATCTTTCTATTTTCTGGCTGTGCGTTGTTCCTTGGGGTGTTGCCTGGTGCGGCATTGTGTGGTGCGGTGAGGATTGGTGCAGAGGGAGGTGGAGCTGGGCAACGGGCTGCCAGACATCCGCACCACGGCGCAGGTCCGCCAGGCGCTGCTGGACGCGGGCTTTGAGGTGAGCGAGCCGTATTCAAAGGGGACGAAATCGCGTGGCTTGGTTGCGTGCCCGCACGCACGCATGCGTTCCTGCAGGGCTGGATAACCGCCCATGCCTGCAGGGAATCGCCAGCAGCATAGACAAAGATACACGCAAACCAAGGGGCCAGGGTAGTGCTTCGAGGTTTCTTGAAGTCCGTTCACCAATTCAGGCCTCCTCCCCTCCCCATTTTGCTCAACCCTCCCTCATTCATCACCCATCGTTGCTCCTCTCCTCTCATCTCCTCTTCCCTCTCCCCACTCCTCCCCCCACCCTTTTCACAGTTGCTGGAATCAGCGTATCTGACGGAGACAGCGGAGGTGGCGTGGCACGCTCTCCTTGCCTCTTGCCCCATCACTTCTTCTCCTACACTCTCCTCCCTTCCCCTCACAGCTGCTGGAGGCAGCAGACCTGACGGAGACAGCGGAGGTGGCGTGGCACAAGCCGCTGGACCCCAGCTATTTCTCGCTCTCGCAGTTCAAGCTCACCCGCCTCGGCCGCTTCCTCACCACCACCCTCGTGCGCTCTCCTTGCCCATGCGTGCATTAAGAATCTGTCCTTTCGCCTCTTCTCTACCTTGCCTTCCTCATGCATCACCTTCCACTTCCTCACACCATCTTCTTGCTATGCCTCTTGCGGTCAGTCTTCATTCCTTTGCCCCATGTTTGACATGCACTTTCCTACCCACCAACGCACCCACCACTCGTGCTCTGCCCATGACACCACTTCCTCTAATCCTCGCCCCCCCCCCCCCCCCCCCCCCCCCCCTCTCTCTCTCTCTCTCTCTCTCTCTCTCTCTCTCTCTCTCTCTCTCTCTCTCTCTCTCTCTCTCTCTCTCTCTCTCACTTCCGTCCCCTTCCCATGCTCATGTTGGTCCGTGAAACCATTCCTCTCTCCAATACCATCACTTCTTCCAGCCTACTTTCCCGTCGCTATCTGTCCCTTTTCTTCCATGTCCGCCCGCCCCTGTCGTACCCTCACCTGTGGTCCCTGGCCAATCAGGTGCAAGTGCTGGAGAGGCTGCAGATTGCGCCAGCTGGCAGCTACCGTGTGCAGAAGTTTCTGGAGAGAGGGGCCGATGCCCTCGTGGAGGGCGGCAAGTGAGTGGCTTTGATTGTCTGACACATTACTCAAAAGCATGTCTCTTTCTGACATTCTATTCATCCGTGGCTTTAACTTCCTCCCACCCTCGCCCCCACCCTTTCCCCTCAAAATCACCCTTCCTTCTCCTGCTAGTTTCTCCTCGCCCCCACCCTTTCCCGTTCATCGTTTTCCCAAACCCTAACTGTATGCCTTGCTGCTCAAACGTCTTCTGTGCAGGAGAGAGATTTTTACACCCATGTATTTCTTCCTTGCTCGCAAGCCTCTGTAGCATTCTGGAGGTCGTAGTGAGTAACAATCGCAATGTAACCTTTTTATTATTTGTGAGCACCTCCAAAATAGTTGTAATGCATGTTGCAAAAATCAGTAGACCCATTAGGCAACTACTCGAGAATAATGTGAATAATGCAGGAGCTAGTCTCCAATGGCATGGACCGTACCGTATGCTCTTTATACGGAAAAAAAACAAGAGGCAACGTAGTCGTCGTAGGGTTGCGAAGCGTTTTGCAAACCTAAGTTATTATTATTTTTGTACAACAAGGTGTAGCAGTGTAACATCGAAACTCAGGTCAAACTATTCAGTTCAGGCTTTGAGGCACATCGATGAAATCGAATCTGTGAGCTTTCGATTCCTGACCCAGCATCAATCAGCTGAGCTGCAGCGGCCTGTCAGGTAATTTTTTTTTTTAATTATCATAAATGTTACGCGCGAACATAGGGTTTGTATTTCTTCTTTTCCTCTCTCGCTTTCCTCTCGCTGCTGGAGCTCTTCTCAACGTACTCCCGCTAGTCACGCTGCATCTACCTACCACTAACAGGTCAGAACCCAAGGCTACCGGTATTAAGTAGAACTAAGATAGTAGTTACAAGCTAGTCTAACCGTAATCGCGTATCATGCCGTAATCGCGTCCTTAGGTTCTAAGCTCTTAGTAAAGTTTTAAGCATTTCCTGTAATCTTTAGGCTAAACTAAGCTGGGCATGTGATTGTCTTTTAGTTTGTCAGAACATTATAGCTTATACATTTGTGTAGGCTGTAGTGGGGTAGGTAGCCCACAAGGGGTACAACCCAATTAGGGTTAGTACTTGTACCCAACTGTTTCATAGTTCATTCATTCCATTCTCACTTCTCGTCATGGTATCGAGCAGGTTCCCGAGTGGGAATACTGCCTACGGCCCACCACGAACTTTTTTTTTTCTTTCCCTGCCCGGAGCGCGCTTAGCTCCTAACCCGAGTAGCGCCTCGAGCCGCCTTCGTGGCCCCTGTTGGCCGCCCTTACTGCCCCTCGAGCCGCCCTCTACGGCCTCGCTTAGGCCACTACGGCCCCGCTACGGCCCCGCTACGGCCCCGTCGGCCCCGTCGGCCCCGCTACGGCCCCGTTACGGCCCCGCTACGGCCCCGCTTAGGCCCCGTCGGCCCCGCTACGGCCCCGCTTAGGCCCCGCTTCGGCCCCGTCGGTCCCGCTTAGGCCCCGCTACGGCCCCGTCGGCCCCGCTACGGCCCCACTTAGGCCCCGCTACGGCCCCGTCGGCCCCGCTACGGCCCCACTTCGGCCCTGCTACGGCCCCGCTAAGGCCCTGCTTCGGCCCCACTTCGGCCCAGTCGCCACCGCGGCCCCGCCCACCCTCGCGACCTCGCCACCACCTGCGACCCCGCCGCCCAGCGCCCGCAGCGCCGAGCAGCCGAACCGCCGGCCAGCTGAGCCGCCCGACCGCCCGAGCCGCCCAGCAACCGAGCCGCCCAGCAGCCGAGCCGCCTGACAGCCGAGCCGCCCAGCACCGTGCAGCCGAGCCGCCCAGCAGCCGAGCCGCCCAGCAGCCGAGCCGCCCAGCAGCCGAGCCGCCTTGCAGCAGAGCCGCCCGACAACCGAGCCACTGAGCAGCCCGATCGCCCCACCTACCTGGTAAGAGCACAGTCTCTGCCACTGCACTGCCCTGCCTACTGCTGTTATGGTTTCCCCTAGCGTTCTCACCTTTGACGCTGAGGGTCGGGCAGTGGACTTTGAGGTCTGGGTAGATGATCTGCAGCTTTTCCTGTAGTGCGATAGGGCAGAAGGTCTCTCCCTGTTTGACCTTACTTCTGGTGCCTCCCCTGCCCCTGCTGTTGATGCTGACGCCACTGTTCGCTCACAGTGGGCCACACGTGATGCTGCTGCTCGCCTTGCTGTGCGCCGTCACTTGCAGACCACTGAGCGTGCACACTTTAGCCAGTACAAGAGTGCTCAGACCTTGTACGACGCTGTAGTTGCACACTACTCTTCCCCTGCCACTGCTGCACTGAGCCGCCTCATGCTACCGTACCTCTTCCCTGACCTTGCTGCCTTTCCCACTGTCGCTGACCTCACTACACACCTCCGCACTAGTGACACTCGCTACCGCGCTGCGCTTCCTGCTGAGTTCTGCGCCAAGAACCCCCCCCCCCAATGTACATCACCCTCTACTACATAGTCACCCGGCTCCCTGACTCTCTCCGCGTAGTTAGGGACCACTTCCTCTCTGTTTGCCCCACCACTCTCACCGTTGACCTCCTCGAGAAGGCCCTCCTAGCGATAGAGAAGAGCATAGTCGCTGTAGGAGCCTCTCGTGGTGACCCTCGCACCCCCGTCTTTGAGGGGTGTTCTCCCTCTCCCCTCTTGCCCTCTGTTGCCTCTGCTGCTGCGGGCGACCTCGTTGGTTTCGAGTCCGTCGGAGCTGCGTCTGCCCCGAGCGGGAGACGCCGCACCGGCAAGGGCAAGGGGGGCAAGGGCGCTGGAGGGGGTGGAGGGGGCGGTGGAGGTGGTGGTGGAGGCGGTGGAGGGAGTGGGGGTGGTGGTGGGAGTGGTGCCGGGGGTGGCGGCGGCAGCGGCAGCAGTGGAGGCGGCGGAGGCGGTGGAGGTGGCGGAGGGAGCGGAGGCGGCGGGGGTAGTGGAGGAGGCGGAGGTGGAGGAGGCGGCGGAGGCGGCGGCGGCGGCGGAGGTGGCGGTGGTGGAGCGAGTCGCGACTCTGCGCCAAGGAGTGGCGCCGGTGGTGGTCTGCGCCAGCAGCAGCAGCGGAGTGGTGTGACTCTGTCCCCTCAGCAGCTTCGTGAGTGGTACACTGCACACCAGCGCGGTGGGGGTTTTGGTCCCTGCTCTTACGTTCTCCATACCGGCGACCGCACTGGTGAGCAGTGCGGAGGTCCGCACTCCACCCAGCGCTGCTTTGGTCGCCTGACGGACGCGTGGCGTCGCCAGTTCCCTGAGGCGTCAGAGATCCCTCGCTGGGGAGATCTGGCTAAGGCCGGGGTTGCTATCTTTGATCTTGACTTTGATGCTATTCTTGCTGCCATGTATGCTGTTGCTGATAGTGTTGAGGGTGCCTGTTACCTGTGTGTACCGCCTGACCCGGGCATTGAGGCTGCTGCGCTAGGTGCTGATGAGGCTGTTGCTCTAGGTGCTAGTGCGTCTGCTGCCCCAGGTGCCAGTGCGTCTGCCGCCCCAGGTGCTGGTGAGTCTGCTCTCTCAGGTACTACGTCGGCTCAGGCCTTCCACACCTTCACACTAGACTCGGGTGCGTCCCGATCCTTCTTTCGAGACCGCACCACTCTTACGCCGCTTAGTCGGCCGGTTGCAGTCTCCCTGGCAAACCCCTCTGGGGGTCCTGTCCTTGCTAGCTTCTCCACTGTCCTTCCGTGCCCTGCAGCCCCCTCTGGCACCCTGTCTGGTCTCTACCTCCCCTTGTTCTCTACGAGCTTGGTGAGTGGAGCGGACCTACAGGATCGAGGGGTTGACCAGTTCACTTCTGCGAGTCAGCGGGTGACCCACTGCACGTGTGCTCGGACAGGCCGACACTTGGCCACGTTCACCCGTCGGCCAGGGTCGAGCCTGTACACCCTTACTGCTGAGTCTCCTCCTACTGCTGAGTCTGCCCAGGTAGCTGCGTCGAGTCAGGTGTTTGCTGCGGCGTCCAGGTCTGGTCCTGAGTCTGCCCCCTGCTCGTGTCGTCTGCTGTCCCACCAGACTCTCCTTTGGCACCACCGCCTTGGTCACCCCTCCTTGCCACGTCTCCGAGGCATGGCCTCCCGTGTCCTTGTCTCTGGTCTTCCTCGGTCTCTCCCTCCCCTTCCTCCGGGGCGTGGCCCTACCTGCGTCCCCTGCGTTGAGGGGCGACAGCGCGGCGCCCCTCAGTCCTTCGAGTTTCCTCCGACAGAGGCTCCGCTGAAGACTCTACACATGGACGTGTGGGGCCCAGCCCGCGTCAGTGGGCAGGGGAGAGAGCTGTACTTTCTGCTGGTCGTTGACGACTACTCGCGTTACACCACAGTCTTCCCCTTGCGCAACAAGGGTGACGTCACTGAGGTGTTGATCGACTGGATCCGCGCAGCTCGTCTCCAGCTGAGAGAGAGTTTCGGCTCGGACTTTCCTGTTCTGCGTCTAAACTCGGATAGAGGCGGGGAGTTTTCCTCTGCCCGTCTGGGAGCCTTCTGTCGGGCATAGGTGTCAAACATTATATATGTTCTGCTTGTGTAGGCTACAGTGGGTTAGCCTATAGGGGGTACACAATTCTAGGGTTTCCTACTTGTACTCATTTCACTGCTAGTTCATTCATTCCTGTTCGCTTATTCTCACATGGTATAGAGCGGGTCCATCTACGGACCGTTTTTTTGGGCCCACCGAAGCGCCCCCCGAGGCGCGATTTTTTTTAGCGACCCCTCGGGTCGTCATTTTCCCTGCGGCCCCGCCGCTTTCACTGACGCGGCCCCGCCGCCCTCTCTGACGGGGCCCCGCCGCCGGCCCTTACGCGGCCCCGTCGCCGGCTCTCACGCGGCCCCGCAGCAGGCTCTGTCGCGGCCCCGCCCCGGCCTTTACGCGGCCCCGCCGCCTGCTCTCATGCGGCCCCGCCCCGGCTCCTTCGCGGCCCCGCCGCCTGCTCTCGCGCGGCCCCGCCCCGGCTTCTACGCGGCCCCGCCCCGGCTTTCACGCGGCCCCGCCGACGGCTTTGTCGCGGCCCCGCCCAGGCCCTTACGCGGCCCCGCCGCCTGCTCTCAC